ATCAACACCACCATCATCTACCACCACCACCCGCATTTTCATCACCATTATCAACACCACCACCACCATTATCACCATCATTATCATCATCAACAGCACCACCAGCATCATCACCAGCATCATAAACAGCATCATCACCATCATCATCACAACCATCATTATCACCATCATCACCATCATCAACACCACCATCATTATCATCACCATTATTATCACCATCATCAACACCACCACCACCATCATCATCATCAACAACAACATGATAATTTTCAATAACATATCTATCATTTTTCTCCCAGACTTACGCCAAACAAACTAAAGCTCCAGGTCACAAAATGCCTAGATCTCGGATTAGGCGGTATGAAATGTGCAGAGGATGGTCATTTCTTCGGAATAATCGAACTTGATGATGGCATCGAAATCACACCAGATGATATGGCGGGCAGAGTTTGTTTGCGGAATGTTCGATCCGTTTTGATCATGCCAAATGACCACCAAAAGTGTTTGTACGAAGCAGCCATTGAAAGTCTCCAAAGCAAAAAGGTCATCATCGATTTGACTCCTGAAATTTGCAACGAACTTAACGTAAGTTCTGTATAAATTCTAAGATTGATTTTTAAACCGCAAATTTGTAGTGAACGAAGAATGACAGAAGTGATAATACCGTCAACGAAATATTGCAAAATGAAGAGCAACATGTAAATGTTTGCGAAGCAAGATGGGCAGTGAATATTGACTCCCCAATACACATGAGAAGAATAATTTGTTAGATCATGATTCAATGTTTTTTTTTCTAGTTTTCTTCGTTCTTGACAAATCCTAAATTCCATCTGGAAGTTAGCCATGCACTGACTTTGATCAGTCTTGAAGCTATTTCAAGTTACCGATCGCGATAACTTTTGATTTCTTTTCATATGTTCTGCTTTAGTAGTGAGTTCGGTTATTAATGTCCCATTACTCAAACACATTGATTGATTATTATATAGATTGAAAGACACGATTCCATAGTTCATGATGTGTGCATGAGATTCAACTTGAATCGCGTTCCTCATTGTGTGATGCACAAAGCTATCGACAGGCTTGGACCTGAGCACGTATTTCAACTTTTTCCAGAGAAGACGTCCCATGCTAAGAAACGAAAATCAAAGGTACATAAAAACCACTCAGTAATATGCATGAATAATTTTTTTTTTGGTCGAAGCCAGCATAACAACACTGAAAAAATTGTCAGCTCCAGGTGGGATAAATATAATTGATAAAATTTGTTATTGCATTTTTTCATAAATATAGTTATTATTTATAATTAGAATTATCGCCAGTTTTTATAGGTAATCGTATGTGGTAATCGTATTAATTGAAAGGATTAATTTCACGATCTAGTGTTTTCAAATTTTTGAAATTGCTTTATAAACAGTGGCTAAATAGCCTGTAGCCATCGATGATTTTTTCGGACATAGAAATGAGAGAGACATGCTACAATTTCCCTTGCAAGTAATATATAAACATACGTCTTTTTAGGTGAAATTTCAGTCACTTGACCCACGCCTTAACGAATGCCAGAAACGCGTTATTCGAGCTATCGCAGACGTTGTCCCCCCTTCTCCTCCACTTGTGGTGTTTGGACCCTTTGGGACAGGAAAGACCTTCACTTTGAACCAAGCGGTGATATACTTGATGAAAGAGAAAGCCAATCGTGTTCTGCTATGTACACATACAAATTCAGCTGCTGACATTCACTTGGAGCTACTCAACAAACACCTCCATGGAACTAATCGAGAACTTCAGTGTGCAGAAGACATTCTTCGCATTTACAGCCCTGAAACAGAACTGAACAAGACTTCTGATGTTGTTCGGAATTATGCACTAGTGAAAGATGGAGTTTTTTTGATGCCAACTAGAAAGAATGTCGTCGATCATCGTGTTGTCATAACAACACTTACAACTGCTGCCCTATTGACAGACCTTGATGTCAGCCATGGATTTTTTACACATATCCTGATAGACGAGGCGGCACAGGCTTGGGAAACAGAAGCACTGATACCACTAGCCCTCGCTGGCCCCAACACGAAGATTGTCTTCACTGGAGACCACATGCAGGTGAAGATAATGATTCTAGTGTTCATTTGTCACTTCTCATTTCGTAATAACATCAGCATATTATATTGCAAAGTAAGCTTTGAAGTAACGAAAAGAACCCTGACACTTTCAAAATTTTTCAATAACCTGAAACGACCTCTGGGCTGATCAAAGTCAGGGCACGGCTATATCTCACAGATTGCACCCTGAAATAACCTCTGGGCTGATCAAAGTCAGGGCGCGGCTATAT